AGATTGCTAATCGGTGCTTCCCTGTGTATAAATTTAACAAGTCTATTTTTGCTGTGTTCCTGGGAATCTTTGAAAAGAAACAAATGAAGTGAAATAGATTCAGATTAAGCCAAATAATTTAAAGGGCATCGATTTCCAAAGAGCATTCGATCTGAAGTCAAAGCTGACTTTATGTGCTGCATGGCAATTGAAATTGAGTCGTTTTCACTGTTTTGTATCTCCTAGTGATGGATGTGGAATTCGAAGCTTCTAGCATCACTGTGGTTGCCCTCACTATCTTCCCGTCTCTGTCAACCTGATAACTGCATCCACTCTGGACATCCTAAGTGACTGAAAATCAATGCATCTTCAAAACTTGTGAGTATCCACCTTTATGGAAAGCAAATTGTATTTTAAGACCAAGGATTTTGGGAAGAAACTTAAGTTTGATCTTTTGTGTTTGGCTTATTCACTGGTTGCTTTTGGACAGACTGCTTAGCCTTTCTGAGCATTAGCTGCTTTGTCTGCAAAATGGGTTGCTTACTCTCTGTTCCATGGGGTGGACTTGAGACTAATACAAGATTAACATTGAGATCAGTAATCTCTTGTATATGATGATGCTTCCGTCAACGTCAGTTTGCTCCTTCTGCATCCCCATATTCAGTGAACAGTTGACTCAATCTATAAACCTGCTGTTACTGAGAGGAATTGTTCCCCTCTCACCCAGAAAGTATGTCAGTACAAATTTCTGTTACTTAAGCACTCAATTTTAGGTGCTTTGCTATGCCAGCACTACGAAATTAGCATACATACATTATTTTTAGATTACCCATTACTTGTAATGAAATCTCTGAAGAATTAACTTGTAGTCATCCCTATAAGCAGACTTTCACTTTCAGACTGAAAAAGAATGGTTGGAAATGTCTTTCAGCCAACTCTAGATAGCATATCTCACAATATAATAATTCAATAATAAAGAATATAAGGGTCTGGGAAGATAAATCAGTTGGTAAAATGCTTGCCACTGATGGAGGAGGGTCATCTGTCTATTGTTACTTTCATTGGTTAATAAAGAGACTGCCTTGGCCTTTGTGATAGGCCAGCCCTTAGGTGGGTGGAGTAGACAGAACAGAATTGTGGGAGAAAGAAAGCAGAGGCAGGCAGTCGCCATGACTCTCCTCTCTGAGACAGCCACAGGTTAGAATCCTCCTGGTAAGCCACCACCTTGTGGTGCTACACAGATTACTAGAAAGGGGTTAATCAAGATGTGAGAGTTAGCCAATAAGAGGCTGAAGCTAATGGGCCAAGCAGTGTTTAAAAGAATACAGTTTCCGTGTAATTATTTCGGATAAAGCTAGCCAGGAGCCAGGTGGCAGGACACAGCCTGCCGCTCCTTTTACATGCCACACAAGCATAGGGACCTTATTTTCATATGCAACATCCATACAATGAAGCCAAGCACAGTGACCTACATCTGAAACCCAGTGCTCAGGGAGTGGAGAGATGAGGATCCTAGAATCTACCCAAGCAAAATTTGCAAGTTTGGGTACAGGGAGAAACATCATCTCAAAAAACAGATGGAGAACAAATGCCTTTGTAGTATGATTGGGTAATAGTCAGAACCTGGAAACAACCTAGATGTCCCTCAATGGAAGAATGGATAAAGAAAGTGTGGAACGTATACACATTAGAGTACTACTCAGCGGTAAAAAACAATGATATCTTGAATTTTGCATGCAAATGGATGGAAATAGAAAACTCTATTCTGAGTGAAATAACCCAGACCCAAAAAGATGAATATGGTATGTACTTACTCATTAGTGGATTCTAGCCATAAGCAAAGAACATTGAGCCTATAGTTCACGATCCTAGAAAAGCTAAATAATAAGGTGAACCCAAAGAAAAACATATAGATCCTCCTGGAAATTGTAAGAAGACAAGATCACCAGGCAGAACTTGGGAGAATGGGGGTAGAAGTGGGGATGGGGTAGAGGAAAGGGGAGAGGGGGAGAAAGAAGGGAGAAGGGAAGGATTGGGGAGAGTTTGGGAGAGTGGGATGGTTGAGATGGAGGAAGGGTGGATATGGGAGCAGAGAAGAAAATATCTTAATTAAGGGAGCCATTTTAGGGTTGGCAAGAGACTTGGCTCTAGAGGGGTGCCAGGTGTCCACGGGGATGTCCCCAGCTAGGTCCTTCGGCAGTAGAGGAGAGGGTACCTGAATTGGCCTTATCCCATAGTCACACTGATGAATATCTTGAATATCGCCATAGAGCCTTTGTCTGGCAAAGGATGGAGATAGAAACAGAGACCCACATCAGAGCACTGAACTGAGCTCCCAAGGTCCAGTTGAAGAGCAGAAGAAGGGAGAATATGACCAAGGAAGTCAGGACCACAAGAGGTTGGTCCACGCACCGAGACAGTGTGCCTGAAATAATAGGAGCTCACCAAAGCCAGCTGTACTGCGACTGAAGGAGCATGTGATAAAACCAGACTCTCTAAATGTGGCTGACAGTTGGGGCTGACTGAGAAGCCAATGATAATGGTACTGGAATTTGTTTCTCCTGCATGTACTGGCTTTTTGGGATCCTAGTCTGTTTGGATGCACACCTTCCTAAGCCTGGATGGAGGAGGGAGGGCCTTGAACTTCTCACAGGGCAGGGTAACCTGCCCTCTCTTAGGACTGGAGGGGGAGAGGAAGGGGGAATGGGGGAGCAGGAGGGAAATGGGGGGAGGGGAGGGAGTGGAAATTTTGAATGGCATTATTTATAAAACAATAAAAGTTTTTTAAAAATAAAATGCTGCTATAGACATACAATTCCAATGTTAAAAAAAAAAGAGTCACCCAAGTGGGAACAATTATGAAGGCATAAAGGAGTCATGGAGAGCAGTTGAGGCTGGGTACTATGGGAGGTCAGGAAAGGTCACTGATGAAGGTGCAACCTCAGTGGCAATTGAAGGCCCAGGACTGAAGGGGTCATAGAAATGAGTTGAGGCTTGGCACCATGAAGAGAGCCTATGAGAGGCTTTTGGTGAAAGTGCACCCAGATGCAGCAAGGGACCCCAGCATATTGGAGATGCCAGCATCATGCGAAGACCACCAAGAACAGTAGCAGCAATGGAGTGGAACCTGCCGGAGCCTAGTGAACAAGCTGTGTGTGCTGCAGAGGGCGGAGCCAGAGATGTGACCTAAGTGCTTTAGAGGAGTCCGGAAGATTATGAATGAATCTCAGATATTGGATGGGTGGAATTTTGTTTTGATTTGATTTGATTGTGACTGTGCCCTGGTTTTTCCCTCTTGAAGTAAGAAAGTAATTTACTGGAGTCCATAGTTGAGAGACTTGAATTCTAAAAGACTTTGTGTTTTTAAAGTAACTGACTATTTTTAAGGAACTGATATTTTAATGTGTTTGAACTTGTAAAGGCTGTGGGACTTTTAATATTATTTAAGATCATGGGGATGAATAAGAAAGGAAGGGTTGTGGCTTAATAGTGATGTGATTGTGTGTCAACTTGACACATGCTAGAGAATCATCAGAGGAAGGAGCCTCAGCTGAGGAAATGCCTTCTTGAGATCCAGTTATAAGGCATTTTCTCATTTAGTGATCCATGGGGGAGGGTCCAGCCCATGGAGGGAGGTGTCGTCCCTGAGCTGCTGATCCTGTGTTCTATAAGATGGGCTAAGGAAGCCAGGGGAAACAAGCCAGTCAGCAGCTCCCCTTCATGACCTCTGCATCAGTTCCTGTCTCCAGGATCCTGCCCCATTTGAGTTCCTGTCCTGACTTCCCTCAGTGATAAACAGCAATGCTTAAATGTAAACCAAATAAACCCCTTCCACCTCCCCCCCAAAAAAGAAATCTGTGCAGGATTTGGGACTCTTTTCTTTTCTCATTAATATATGTTCTATATTTTGTGAAATATTAATATTTGTAAAATATTTCTATATTTTATGAAAATAAAATTTCAAAATGTTAAAACGAGTAAGAAAAATTAAAAAACAGGTTGAGAGCAATTGTTTTTGCTTCTCTGGACTTCATACGCACACATGTATGTACACACACATACACACAGAGAACGACAGAGAGTCAGAGATACAGAGACAGAGAGCAAATAAAAGAGAATATTAGGAGTCCAATGTAAATGACTTATAGTCTAATTTTCCAATAAATGTATAGTTAAGTCTAGACTGTTCATAGTGAAATAGACAGCAAGCTGAGAATAAAGATACCACAGAAATGTAGAGACCTCAGTTCGTACAATACTGTCTACATGCCTATATCAAATCAATACAATATATAGAAAAATCTTGCCTTTTAAGAGCTATAATTGAACTCTTTCTCCCCTACTAAGTAAAGAAGTTACAACAAAAATCATACCCACGCATTTCTCTTCCACCTAAATTTGTCAACTATTGCTGTGTGGAGAGGCAAAGCATCTCCTTTCCCATTTAGTTACATTTTTCAAATAAAGCTGTCTTCACATCATTTCCTTGACATTGTGTGCTAGAAGGGCAATTACCAAGTCCAAAGTTGTAGTATTTTTAATAGTCTTCATACTTATTACCAGATTGATTTTCAGAAAATCTGGTTATTCATTCTTTTGAGGCTTCCTCCCAAGGCAATCTTTGGTCTCAAGAGAAAGAGCAGGGTCTTAGGGAATACTGAGAGCATCTGTGGTCAACTGCCACACTCAATAACGAGCATCACATTGTGAAGAGCTCAAAGGCAGGCCCGGTGCTTGCAAAATGTGCAGGAGTCTCGGGTCTCAACCTCCTCCACCCCTGGAATGTGGTGTTTAAGCTCAGTGCAAACTAAGAAGCCAGCTGGAGGGCTAAGCGGCAAGCATCTCTATCCTCTCCACTCATGGGGAGAGTTCCAGTGACCTGCACATCCGAGTGTTTAGTTTAGAGATAATTTTCAATAAACTGTTGTCACTTGAAAAGAAACAGTCTGGACAATGTATGGCCCATTTGGGATCCTGAGAAAATAAACAACCAAGGGAATGCCCCCCTGCTTGCTTTTTGCAGCCGTTTCTGGAATGTTCTTTTCAGTTACTTCTTTTTTTCCTCCCTCTATGGCAGGTTTTACTTAAAAATAATGCTGTTTATTTAGCATGTCTTGGAGACCCTCTTTTGAAGAACCGCAGTCATGAACGGCTTGAACATCCGGCTTCGCAGCAACCAATTCATCCTGCTGTTGCTATTGCTCCTGCAGGTTCAGAGCTTGGGTCTGGATATTGATAGTCGACCTGCTGCAGAGGTCTGTGCCACACACGCCATTTCACCAGGACCTAAAGGTGAGGAGGAAACCTCAGACTTCATATAATAATATTTATAATCTCTTCCCCCCACCTCAAATCCTCCCTAGCTGCTAGGTGACTTCACTCCCTCTCCTCCCTACTTTCCCTTGCCTTCCTGTCTATTTGGGAAACCAGTGGACTTTTAATTACTTATGTAGGCTTCCCTACGTGGAAGGTAAGCGGAGGTAAGGGGAGGTGGAACACAGGAATGCGAGTCTGATGGCAATCACCGAGGGCTGTGAGAAACCCTTCCACTGTACCTAACGGGAGACGAGGCTCATGATCACTTTGATTAAAACACCTCCCTTCATTCTAGAAGCTACTTTTCTTCCTCCCTTTCCCCCCTCATACTGATTCAAAAGAGAAATTTATCTCGGAGGTCAAAGATAAGAGTGTATTCTGAAGTGTTTCTTTTGTAATTAATGGACTCCTGAGCTCCAGTGAGGAAGATTATGTTTTAATTAAGGACCAAAAGTAGTGTATAAATGAGGATTTCTTTATTTGAAAGTGGGATCTCTGAAGTCAACTGCCTTCAGCTGGAGAATGGTCAAATATTGCTCCCCTTCTCCCCCAAAATAGAGTTGAGGTCTAAGGTTCGAATTTGCTTTTGGCACTGGTTGGGTTTTGTTGTTGTTTTGTTTTGTTTTTAATCAATCTGTTTTCCTGGTTTCGGTTCTTACCCCTTTGTTCTGAAAGTGGTCACTGCACTGCAGACTGCTTCTCTCCTATTAGTAATTCATGCTATGCTTCCCCAGGCTACTGTGTGGAACAATGGTAGCTGCTTAAAATTTCAAGCAGAAAAAAAAAAAAAGAATTTAATAAAAAAAAAAGAAGAGAAAGAACGAAAAGAAACATAACTTAATTCTTGTCAGCTATTTAAATTTGTATTGCTTAAAGTGCATTTTTCTTAATCAGTGAATTAATTTTCTCCTACGATCGCAATCCAGATTCTAACCTTTGATACCATAAAATAAATGCGGGCTGTTACAGGGAAACCTTGGGGCTTCCAAATAATTTCTTGGGTGAATAAATGAATAATGTAAGGGCAAATGTTCAGAAAAGAAAGTTTTGGTTAGAAATAAAGTATTTACTTAAATCCATTATTGGACTTTTCACGGACTATATGGAAACTGTGTTTTCCATGTGGTATCAGGAAGACTGAATATTGAAGGCTTCCTCTGTTGTGCCACCGAGAGAATCTACTCGAGAATAGCACCGCTAAGTTTTTTTTTTCCCTAGAAGAAAAAGCGACACTTTTCACAATGGAATAAGAACACACAAGAAACTTAATGAAATGCCCCAAACATAACACATCTTCATCAAACAACCATGTCTCCTGCAATCCAACCAATGGACATTAATTGTTTACTGTTGGGCCCCCTGTTTTAGGCACAGCAGTACACTAAATAAAATGTTAGTGTCATAAACAGTAAAGAGATCAATTGTTTTGCATAGGATTTCTGAGATGGTGTGACTCTGTACAGCAAATGAAGACAGCATTTGCGCAGACAAGAGCAAGCCCACAGGAGAAGCTTGAGAAAAGCACTCAGCAAAGGCTGAACGCAATATGTAGCCAAATCTTAAATCTTTTCAAAATCAGTCAGGTAAAACCACATTCAGGAGATTGAACAAGTTCGAGGTCATCCTTGTCTACTGTGGGCATAGAATTCAGTAAAAAAGAAAAGAAAAGAAAAAAGGAAAGAAAAAGAAAGTCTTTAGAAGGAGAAACAAGACACCTACCTTTTAAAAAGTTAAACCACATTATTTCACTTATCACTTAGATCTACACATAGTGTTTATTGAAAACCAGCAGTGCCCACACATCTTCTTTCGTCATTTCTTCACCTAGTACAAAACTTGAGTCTTCTCACTAGAAACTTGGGTACTGTTTCCATCTGTTAAAGCTTAACTCTCTTCCTCAGCCCAGGGAGAATGGTGAGCAGGCCATAAGCTAATGTGAAGGAATAGGGATGCACCTTGAAGGAGAAACTGAGAGAGGAGCTGTGGAACACTGTGTTTCAGAACTTCTCATTCTAAAGATATGGATAAGAGTTTCTCATCTGAGACATAGGGTCTTTGTGCCAAAGGCATTGTAAGACCCTTCTCAGTAATGAGTTTCTATGACTCTGTAAGTACCATACTCCCCAAGTCCAAGCACCATGTCAAATGACTTGGGTTGGAAGTTAAGATAAGGAACACATCTTAGGACTTGTCTCTAAGTAGCAAGTTTGGGATTCAAGCTCTGGGACTGAACTCTTACTTGATCTGAATCTTTATAACCTGCCTTCACACTGCAGCAACCTGTGCATGGTTACTGCTGTCTTTCTTCCGTTCCAGGCAGAGTGTTAGAGGTGGATGCACAAGAAATACGTGGGACCTTCTCTTGGATGTAAACTACACCTCTTTCCTTGTAAGAATTGCAAAAGCTCCTCCCCAACTCCAAGGAAAGCAGGCCTGGATACTGGGCTCCTCACAAGGAAAACAAAAACTTTGATGGCCAAGTAGGCATTTTAAAGAGCCAAATTATAGTTTTTTTTCCCTTCAGTATCTTTTCTGCTACAATCAAACCCGTGTCTGGTGCATTTTCCCATGGCTAATCATCTCATTTCTGTGTTTACCAGCACAGCAGTACTCTGCTCAAAAATTTCCAGATACTCTGAGAAACAGAAAATTAAAGGAACTAAACTATAAATTCGTTTGGGAGAGTGGAAACTAAATAAATTATTCAGACTTGCAGATGAAACACCAATAATATTATCCAGTTATAGAATATGCTGTACAGCAGACAGACACACTCATCAGCATTATTTCCAAAGCATAACCTAACAGCAGAAAAACAGTAGCTTCTATTTGATCTACTTATGCCTCAGCTTCTTTATAGAAAAAATGGACATTCATCATACATACTTCTTATTTATAAGATGAAATAAATCAAAATAAATTTATCTTGAACAGACGTCATTAATGTGTATTTAACAAATTTTGCTTCTCTTTCTTTTGCCTGCTTATCAAATGCATCGAGTAACAATTTTGGGGTTAAGAATCCTGGTTATTCCAGATGTCTTTGCTGAAAGTCCTCATTATATTTCTTTCTGTCCTTGAAATGTTTGTTTTCAACTGCTCGGCAGGAAATGTTCCCTTTTGATTTTCATCCCTACCATGGCAGTTTCTTTCAGCAACTTATGTGAAATTCTGACCTCTGGTGGTTTTAGTTGAAAACAACATGGATGAGAAAAAAAAAAAACTTTCAACATCTATAAGGGGTATTTGGAGGAGGCTTGACAAACTGGGAGAAACGCTGAGTACATCACCTTGTTTAATTTTCACAGCATCCGTACCTATTATCAATAACCTAAGAATATGCATGAGAAAATAATCTCAGAAAGGCCAAGTGGAGCCACAATTAGTTAGTCTTGAAAGTGGCCTCTTGCTCTCTGGTCCAGGACCAGTCTTTCTATGCCATGCACTAGTTTGCATTAGTCATATATTATGCTTAAAAGCACAGCCACTAGCTACCTTCTGGTGATAATAACTGGCTGTTCATTATCTCAGGACATTGAACTTATGTCATCTCAGCTCATTGGTTGTATTGGGCATTAAGTATGCTAAAATGATGCATACATATTAAAACTGGTGTTTCATATATTTGGAAGTAAGCACTATTGTACTCTAGTCTAACACATGTTTAATAAAACATTGCCACTTGCAGCTATGTAAGGACTTTGCCACCACTTTGCACTTTAATTATCTCAATAAACTTTGCCAAAGATATATAATTTCCATCCACCATATAAAGAAACTGAGGTTCATAGCTACGGTGTCAGTAGCCGAGCACCACTGAGCTGGAAAGGGCCAAGTGGACTTGGGTTCAACACAGTTCCCTTTGCATTCTCTGTTCCAGTTAGTCGGCTGAATGCTCTCGCTAAGGAGAGCCCTCAAAACCGTGGGGAGCATGACATAGTATTGTGTGGGGCAGGAAATTCGCTACTTGGGGTTTTGCTTAAAGCCTCCTTTGGAACCTGGTAAAAACAAGGGCAAGCATCGGAGCACAAAGCAATGGGAGCATGTGTGTCATTGCTCTTTTTTAGTAAGAGAGGTCATTCTGTGAGGGAAGACTGGAGGAAATCACCCCCGCTGGGAGGAGAAAGCTCTTTTCTGGAAACCTCCATTAACCATAAGAAAAGGGACCTATATTTGGTCATCTTCTTTATTATTGGCATGGCTTGATATTGCAGAACTGACGCAATTCTCCAAATAATTCTCAATGTCCAATAAGAAGAATGCTTCTGTGACTTCCTCATAAATAAGTCTGGATACACCCTGGGGGTATCTGAATCCCTCACATTCAAATTTAAAGGCGTATCGCTTGCCGGGTAACTCGCAATGATCTTTGATTTGTAAAGTTGGGGTCTGAGGAGGCACAATAATACCATACCAGTCTCATGGCCATTGGTGGCCAAGTTACAATTGGAACTGAGATCCTAGACTCTCTTCACCCCATCCTGGTTCATTATCCTTGTCCTTACTGTATCTGAAATGATTATTTAGTTTGACAAGTTAGCATCAGGAAAACAGATCTATGAGATAAGTGTATGGCATGGCCTAGGGTCACATTAAGTAGGTCACCTTCCTATATTAAGGAACCAGTTCTTTGCAAATGACTTCCACAGAGAAGTTAAGCAAGTAGTGTGACTTCTTTGATTTTTATATTCCACATTGTAAGTATCTGGAAACATTTTTTTTCTTGTTTCCCTTTGAGTAGATGCCAAGAAAACATTTCAAAGCTAGGCTAGGAGAGGAAGTATAAAACCCTACTCCGTCAGAGTATAAAGATGAATCAGGGGGTAGTGAACGGTCGTGGCTTTAAAAATTATTTGTCTCATTTTAATAAAAGCATAACCCTTATTCTGTTCTTCTCCCCAGTTCCCTTATGTAACTATTTAACTATCTTCAAATCACTGCCCGGGGCCGTAGCATCAGGTTCTTGCACAGTGATA